TACAAAGATTCAGAGGTAAGCATACATCTTGTCCTGGGAATTTCTAATTGCCCAATTTAGCTATAGCAATATGTCAAGGAAGCAGTGTGAAAGTTGGTGTATTATTACTAATATCTTTATATGATGTCTATCCTCTTCCCATTGAGAGATTATTATATTATTATGAGATTAAGTGAGAGCTAAATATGCATCAAAATTTCACAAATTCTGGTAAACGAATTACCTTTTCCAAAATTTCACTGGAGGCTTCATGGTTGACATCCAGCAGGGCTTGACCAGTCTCATCAGCAGATTGGAATCGGTCATCATAAGAGTCAATCTCATGCTGTGGCCACAAGACACAATGTCTTAAAATGCAGCAAGGAATTTTTTGCCAGTCTTAGTACCTCTCCTTTCCTCCTCTTGAGGAGGATCTTTCTCTTTACCTTATGCTGCTGATGCCTGTCCAGTAGGGCTTCCCCACCAGCCACATCTGTGGGCAGCTCGTCAGCGTTGATTAGTGCAGTCTTCTCTGTCATCCAGCCTGAGAGTTCATCATAGTCAGATAAGAAACGCTGGTACCTGTGGGAGAGGTAAGGTCAAGGCCAAGAAGGAGAAACCAGATGTAAATGGACTTTGTCAAAGGGTTAGGGTTGAGTTGAGTTAAAGGTGCAATATGCTCCTTGCCCTAATTCTACCCCTCCCCTTCCCCTGATGGACTTTCTGTTCCTTTAATGGTTCAGGTTGTAAGTTCTTGACTCCAGGCTGTGTATTTCTTGGGTAGACATGTCATTATGTGATGAGGCACGTAGGCATGACATCTCGAACAGCACAAGGTCACACCTACCCCAGAGGCACTTGAAGTAAAGTACTCCCAATGAGGCCAATAAATAAGCACATAATATAGAAACAAAAATAAGCACCTTGTGGGAAGGGGGGACTAGAGTTAGGGTGAGGAGGCCTCATGTATCTGAGTTCACCCTTAACCCTATTAATAAAAACAACACTCACTAAAACAGTTCAAAAAATATTAAATGCTCGCTATTTAATTTTAAATCATAACATTAAGATAAGCAGTATTTTCTGGTGATTTAATGACTCATCATAAAATTAACTACTGAAATGATACCCATGTTTTTGACAAGCCAACCCACATTCAGGAAATAATTCTAGATTTATTATTAATACGCTCATCAGATTGGAAATTTCTTTCAGTTCCTTAGTTAGAACCAGGATTTTGACATTTCTTTAGCTGCTTTCCCAGCTTCATGGGCCACGTCATAGCATCTTACAACTAAACAAACAGAGGAAGAGGAAAGGTGTGCAGGTGAGCAGAGGTGGCATGCTAAGTATTCTATAGGCCTGCAAGAGACTTCTCTTGGCAACTTAACACCTATTCTGCCTCCACTGAGTGGGCAGGGAGTTTGAGTGCCTCGTTGTTTTACTGCTTTCACTTTTTTATTTCTGTTTTGAGTATTATGCCTGAATTCTGTAGAGGCAAATAGAATAATAGAAAGGAAAAATTCTGCACCAAAAAGAAGCCTGCAGCTTTGCATATCTGCTGGTAGCCAAGGCACGGATGTGCTCCCAGTTGGAGACCAAGTCCTCTTTCATCTGCTGGATCTGAGGTGCGTCTGCCGGATGGGAAAGCTTCAGCTTGTCTGCTTTGGCACATAATTCCTTCACCTTTAAGATGAAAAAGACACCTAGTGGGAAACCCGAGCGCTCTGGGTTCTCCTGGAAGACTTATATTGGAGTGATGCAACTAAATGATCATACAAATAATAATAATTTATTAATACATATTTATTGACATATTTATATTAATATGCTAATGAACTATATTAATAATAATTTACTAAGCATTTTTGTCTCTCGTGCTAAGCACTTCACATGTGCTTTCTTGATTTATAGTCTTTATTTAATAAAACTCTAAAGTACAAACTATTCCTAGTCCCTTTATGTGATAACAGAGAGGTAAATATTTTATTTGCTCAAGATCACTCAGCTAGTAACTGACAGAAGAAAGGTTCAGACTTAAGTCTGTCCTTCACCAGCCTGTATACTGTTTCCATAAATATGAGTGTGGGAATCAGAAAGACATTTCTGCTTAAGAGGACAAGAAATGCCAGTAATGCCAGCTCATTTTGAGTACAATTCCTGAGGAGCAGGGTTAGCAGGCAAAACTATGGATATGGGTGACTTTCCACATGTTACCATTAGTCCTTTATTAAAACTAACTAAAATCAGGTATTGTCTAGGGCAGTGATTTTCAACCATGTATAGCAGGGATTTTTAAAACATGCTATGCTTGACTATTTAGTTAGGGGTACTGACCTCTTTTCCTTTAGATTGTCAAATAGAAAAATGACGATAGCCAACACAATAGCCACCTGGTGTGACTGCCCTCTCTTGAGCCATAAATATATAGGTCATATAACAGAGTTGCATCTTATTGGTCATGTCACATAAAAAGGTTGTGTTTCATTGGCTAATTCTTGGTACCAGAAAACCTTATGTACAAATATAGGCAACTAACTTTTTTTAAAAGTTACTTGAAACAAAATATATAAAATGAAGGATATCCAATATTCAAATACAAGTTGTGAACTCAAAGGGGAAGCACAGAATTTCGACTTTATTGAAATAGTACATTTACTGTGTTCTCTGGAGGCAAGATGATCAATAAATACCTCTTCTAGCTCAAGGGGTCATACTTGGAACAAAATATATAAAATGAAGGATATCCAATATTCAAATACAAGTTATGAACTCAAATGAGGAAGCACAGAATTTTGACTTTACTGAAATTCTCTGGAGGCAAGATGATCAATAAATACCTTTTCTAGCTCAAGGGGTCGGCCACTCCTCCAATAATGGCTTACCTTGTCATCCATGACTGCAAGGTTTCGCTCAAGTCCCTTGTGACTGTGAAACAGTGCCTCGGAGCTAACGAGGTCTTTGCCATAGTCCTCAGAGGTGAGTTGGGGCTCCTTCTCCTTGATCCACTGGATGGCTTCAGTCACATCCCTGTCAGACATCCATATGAGCTCCAACAAAAGAAGATAGCAGGCATCCCAGAGCAAATGGAGCCCACAGCAAGGTCCAACCTAATTTACCCAGCTAGAAATTACTCTATCTTCCTACGCTCCAGCAAAAAGTAGTGTAAAGAGTTCTTGCTTTTAATGGTTTCCTTTGAGATGTAGAGACCTGCTCAACCTGACCATTGAGCCTCCAGATAATTCTAATGTCATGGTCAACATTTCATGAATGTCTTTCTTCTTCTAATCTCCATCTTCCTCCCCCACCCAATTCTCAATCTGCTTTCCTTGCTTTCCAGAGCTCCCATCACTAATTCCTGGTGCTATTTTCATTGCTTTGGGCTCCAGCCACCACGAACTTGGCTGTATTGGCTGTAGAGTGGATTACAGTTCTCTTAACTGCCTAAATGTCTTAAAGGCAATCCATGGTTTTCTTTGCAGCATTGGCCACTAATTGCTAACAGCAGGACATGGTGCTAATGCAGTGCCTGGACTCATACCTTTTGAATCGCTGGAGGTCTGCAGCGTTGGACAGGGTTTTCCGTCGCTGGAGAGCAAGACCATGGAGACGCTCCCAGGCGGCATTCACCTCGTCCTGCTTTGACTTAATCAAAGGCAGTTCTGGGTGGTTCTCCTTTGAGAGGAAACAAATGCTGGAGTTATGCAAAGGGGAAATTATTCCATCACTTAAACACTTTCCATTTCACACTGGCTCATACTTTGTCAGAAGTGAAGAACAACTATAGAGCCAGATACTGAAATTCACATTAGCCAGGCTCCCTAGCTCTAATCTGAACTACATTACAAAATCTAGACAACTAACCTGCTAGATGTTGCATCTTTTCTCACAGCACTGGTCTAGCCTACTAACACAGTTACCCAATCATGATGTTATTTTCAGAGCTCCACCTTGTTGATGCCAGCTACACCTCCTGAACATCACTGATACAAAGAAAAAGGAGAAAAAATTCCCTTTGTGAAGCATGACTTAATTTTCCAAACTTAACACTAGTTCTTAAAACTTTTGGGGTCCTAACACCTTCAAAAATCAAATAAGAACAATCTTTCTATCTCCAGAATTATATACAAATTCACACACATTTAATTTTGCTGAAAATTAAAACTGGCTTCCCAGTTTTCTTGCATATTATTATATTTATTTACATACATTTTTGCAAATCATCTGAAGTGATGAGATTTATGAATACTACATGAATCAAGCAACGTCAGCCTGTATGGATACTTGGAAATTTTGAGTAGTTCCTCTATGGCAGTGGTTCTCAACCTTCTGGCCCTTTAAATACATTTCCTCATGTTGTGACCCAACCCTAAAATTATTTTTGCTGTAATGTTGCTGCTGTTATGAATCATAATGTAAATATCTGATATGCAGGATGGTCTTAGGCGACCCCTGTGAAAGGGTCGTTCGACCTCCAAAGGGGTCGCGACCCACAGGTTGAGAACCGCTGCTCTATGGCCATCTCCCTAGTCCTCTTGTCCCTATCTCTTCCCATTTCCATTTCCATTCCAAAGGCTCTCCAGACAGAATTTTCCACATTCTTCTTTCTGAGTGTGTGGCCCTCTTTATTGCAGCTGTGTGAGCCCCACTTCCAAAGAGCAGGGGATAAACTCTGAATTGGATTAGTCCTTATTGTGGTAGATTAGAAAAAGTAGCCATGATATTTTGCCATGAGATCCTCCTTTCAAGAGACAGACTCTATTTCCTCACTCATTGGCTATGGATTGGCCTGTGAGTTGCTTACTAACAGTATGTGGCAGAAATGATATTCCATGAGCTCCAGCACTTAGGCCTCAAGAGGTATTTCAGCGTCTGTTCTCACCTGTGGAAACACTGATACAAAAAAACACAGGGCTACTGAAATATGAGTCCATATAGAGAAAGCTTTCATTATCCTGCCAAGACCCCAGACACTGGGCCAAAGCCATCTTAGATCTTCCACTTTAACTGAACCACCAAATAACTACAGCAACTTAGAAATGCCAGGTGGGATGTGCAGAACTGCCCAGTTAAACAACTGAATCATGAATCAGTGAATCTGACTTATTATGTCATGAAAAAATAATTTTAATTTTCAGCAAAATCATGTTTGCTTTTTTAAATTTTGTGGCAGTTGGTGATAGCAACAGATAAAAGTTTCTAAAACAAGAGAAATGTGGGAAATTTAGGGACTGTTGGAAAGGTAGTGGCTCCTTTTTTCTACTCCATTATTTATTCATCCTGAAATCTTGGTTCTATTAACTCAGAAAAAATTATTGCCATTATAAACCTGTAGTGATAATAAAACCATAAATGGAAAAGCATAAGAGCCACTGTTAGAGTCTCTACTTTTTTATATACATATAAAATCAGACTGGCTTTCCAGTTTTCTTGCATATTATTCTATTAGCTCAGATATTGAAAACATATTTAAGCATTTTTTTAACTACAGTTAAATCTGCTCCTTTCCCTCTGCCCCTGCACAGAAGTTATCTATAATGATATCATCCTATATAATAAAAGGCTAATATGCAAATCAACCAAACAGCAGGACAACCAGTCACTATGATGCACACTGACCACCATGGGGGAGACGCTCAATGCAGGAGCTGCCCCCTTGTGGTCAGTGTGCTCCCACAGGGGGAGTGCCACTTAGCCAAAAGCTGGGCTCACGGCTGGCGAGCGCAGCGGCAGTCTGCAGGCAAAATAATTAACAGGGCTTTTAAAACAACACTCCATACAGTACATCCTAAATAATAAAGAGCTAATAAGCAAATGGTCATCATGCTCTCATGCCATCACACCATAAAGGCTCAGACACTCAACACTGGGGAGAGAGGAATGGGCACCAGCCAGGCTGCAGCCCAGGAGAGGGACAAGCCTCACACCCCGCAGTCCCGAGCGCCAGCGGCTGTGCCTATGCCTGCGGCCTGGGAGAGGGACAAGCCACCTGCCCCATGGTCCTGGGCGCCTGCGGCTGCAGCCCAGGTGAAGCTGCCTGCCCATGGTCCCCTGCGGCTGCGGCCGGCCTGGGCAAGGCTGGCCTGGGCGAAGCCGGCTCGGGTCCTGGGTGCCTGCAGCCAGCCACAGGGAGGGAAGCCTGGGTTTGGGTGTCTGCAACCGGCTGGAGGAGGGAATCCTGGGTCCCGGGTGCAGAGCAAGGCAGAGGCAGTTAGGGGCGATCAGGCCAGCAGGGGAGCAGGTAGGGGTGATCAGGCAGGCAGGAAGAGGTGGTTAGGGGCGATCAGGCAAGCAGGCAGAGGGATTAGGGGCGATCAGTCAGGCAGGTAGGTGAGCGGTTAGGAGCCAGCAGTCCTGATTGCGAGAGGCAGTCAGACATCCCCCGAGGGGTCCCGGATTGGAGAGGGTGCAGGCTGGGCTGAGGGACCCTCCTCCCATGCACAAATTTCATGCACCTGGCTTCTAGTATATTATAATAGCTCACCATTATTTATATTCTTTGCTATTTTATTGATTCTTCTTTACGAGGAAAGAGTGCTGTATAAACATGAGTAATTAGTGTAGTGCACAGTGCAGTAGCTACCTCATTGTATATTTCATTTCTTTATATGCACTCACTCACTCACTCACACCTCCTTTCCCATGGACTGGCAAGGGATGGATCCAGAGAGAAGAAACTGATTTGGGCATGTCACTCCAGGGACATGCATCTCTATTTTCCCACAAGGCCCTATGTACCCCATGTCACACCTACTAATGACCACAAGTTCTTCTTGAAGATCAGGACCCTATTTCTGAGTTGACCCTTTGCTCTCTACCTCACCTCAGCACACTTATTAGCATATTCGTTCACTCCATCCACTCTCCCCTTCCGAGCTGCCAGGTCTACTTGGAACTCTTCAAACTTCTTATGCAGAACCTCTGTGCGTTCCCAGTCTTCACCCAGCTCTACGGATGTCACTATGGCCTCCTGTAGACACAGAAAAGTCTATTGAATCACCAGCAATCTTTAGGAATTCCTTTAGGTAAAATGCCTCAAATCCCTGCCTTCTTCCTAGGATAACTCAGGAGATACAGGTGGAGCCTGGGAGAACCACTTCTAGAAAGAGCCAGAAGCAGAAGCATATTTCCTAAGGTGGCACTCTGGCCCAGGGGACAGTGCTCTTTGGGCTAATACTTTAGAGCAATCAGGGGTATTGTTGGCCAGAGCCTGTGGAAGCACCCTTTATGTTTTGAATCATAAAATGTAAATTTGGAACATAAAAATAAATTCATCCTTGTTCTATTCAGCTCAACATACTTAATATCTACAAAGTCATTAATCTTTAAGTATTAAAAAAAGAGACCTTCATAATTATAGACACTGAGAGACAAGGGACTAGGGAAAGATCTGGCAATACTATCAGCCTAGACCTAGAGTCAGAGTGAAATTCTAGAAAAAGGAGTGAAATATCGTGGAAGGTAGAAGGGGACAAGACTAGATTATCTTCCAGTGCACATTTTTTGTGTAGGTCATGTCTTCATAGTCAGAGTCATAATTTAGACTTACCCTCTCCCCTACCGTATTAACAATCTCCAGAATATCTCTAAATCTTTGCCAAAACATCTCCTTCTTTCAAGGAACAAGTCCAGGAACAGACACCCTGCCTTTTTTATGAATAGCCTATATGAAACTGCTTTGGGTGTTTGGGATAGAGCATGGTGAGTCCTAAAGGCATACTGTTTAGCCTTATACCTTGTCTCCAATCCACTCCAGGATGTCGGCACACTCCTGTAAGTACTGCTGGAGCCTCAGGGCCTGGAGAAGGAAGGTGCCCTTCTCCTGAGTCAGCTCTATCAGCAGCTCCCACAGGCGGCGCAATTCCTCCAGATGGACCTTTGGGGAAGAGAGACAAAACTACTGAGGCACAGAGGCTGTGGATCAGGTGCAGACTCAGAGACTTGTGCAGAGAGGGGCCTAGATAGAAATGTCTCCTCCCATTCACTTGTGCATTAATTGCTCAACAAATATTTTAAAGGGAAGATAGGATATATGTGGAAATAGCTATTAAATTAAGCCATATATTATCTTTCATAAGACAAAAATTTTTAGAAATGCTTTGGGGTGTTAGACTATAAAATGATTACAAACACTAAGATGGATAGAGTCAAGGATTCATGGAAGAGTGCTCATCGGAACTGGGCTTTAAGAAACAGAACTTTGACAGATAGATAATAGGCAGAGGGTGTCCTAAGCAGTGGCAAAGTCACAGAAGAAACTTAGCATGAGTTGTTTGCCAGAAAATATCAGAACTACAATTTTGCTGGCTTACAAAAAATAAAATGAATGGCACCAAAGCAATAGAATTTTGAGAGCATATAGTTGAGGACTTCGATGGCAGGTTAGCTTGGATATTATGTAATACATATCTTATAAAATTGAAGTTATCATCTTTGTCATGTCTTATAGAATCTTGTATCTTACAATTACTCCATTGTTCAAGGTAGTAGTAGACCACATTTCTCTCTAAATCTAGCATGATACAATCTGACATAGCCCTGGTGATTCTAATGGACGTGAAGATGTTTTAAACATTTCTCAAACATTTTAATTAATGTAGGAACTTGGCAGCAAAACTGCGATTAATAAAAAAATGATTTCTATTTTATATCAATAAATGCCTTTTGAAATTGTCTTATTACCGATTCTTTCCTAATAAAGTTATATTCCGTATCACCTGACTATATTTTGTTGACAGTAAAATGGGGTCGAATTTGCTAAGTATGGGAAGACAAGCTCCAATTTTTAAATATGTGACACAAATGTATTAACAATTTTAAAAGTGCATAAACAGTACAAACTCCACTTATAGAAAAAAGATCCTGATTTGACTATATAATCTACGTTGGAACAGTACATAGATGAAATTAGAAAAGAGCTGATACATTAATGGTGGGTTCCAAAGTGGTGTGATCTTGAGTGTTCAGTGTGCAAGAATTTCCTGAAGAAAGGGGGTACATAGATGAAATTAGAAAAGAGCTGATACATTAATAGTGGGTTCCAAAGTGGTATGATCCTGAGTGTTCAGTGTGCAAGAAGAATTTCCTGAAGAAAGGGGTTTGTAGGATTTTTTTCAAAGTGATCAGGAGGGTTGGAGGTCTATAGTAGTGATCAAACCGTGTAGGCTGTGAAGAGAACGAGTTATTATGGACAAAGGGATAAAGATTTCAGAGAAGATTCTCAGGGAGAGCATCCCTTGTTCCAAAAGTTTAAGGGACAAGGACTCTCAGACCTGAAGAAATAATTGGGATATTTGGGAAAGCCATTTCATCTGGGAAATGTAGAGCCAGATTGAAGTGGGCTTGATCTTGAGTCCATTTATTCTGCAGTGGCATAAGGAGGATGTGGTGCCATCAACGACAGCTTTCGGATCATAGCTCTTCTCCCCAACCCCAGGAACACAAGGACAGCCCGTCGCTTTTCTTACCCCAACCCCAGTAGAAGATGAGAGACAGACGCCTTAATGCCAAGCCAGCTGCATGAAAGCTCATGTTCAGCATAATCAATTAAAGCCCCGATAAAGTTGTCAACAATTAGAAGCTTATCTTTGAGAGCCCTACCACATCTTTACCTTGGTGTCCTCGTGGGCAAAATGGCCCTCAGCAAATCGGACTTTCCTTATTTCCTCCAGCTCAGGAATGACCCTTGATTTTGCTTGTACCTCTGCTTCAAAGGATTCATGCTTCTGATATTTCCCCTGAAGTTTAGAAATCACAGTTTATAGTTAAGGAAGCCCCGTCTCCCTGGACCACAAAGAGGTCCCTCTGTTCCTCTTCTTACTTTTAGTCAGAACTACTTGTTGCCCAACCTAGATTAAGTGACAACCTATGACCATAGCTGGAGCAGTCACACCCTAAAGCAGCGGTTCTCAACCTGTGGGTTGCGACCCCTTTGGGGGTTGAACGACCCTTTCACAGGGGTCGCCTAAGACCATCAGAAAACACATATATAATTACATATTGTTTTTATGATTAATCACTATGCTTTAATTTTGTTCAATTTGTAACAATGAAAATACATCCTGCATATCAGATATTTACATTATGATTCATAACAGTAGCAAAATGACAGTTCTGAAGTAGCAATGAAAATAATTTTATGGTTGGGTCACCACATGAGGAACTGTATTAAAGGGTCGCGGCATTAGGAAGGTTGAGAACCACTGCAGAGGAAACGGGACCTCTCATTTGGACTTGACAAGGGATATGACTAGTATTTTGTAGAAAAACCAGGAAAACTCTGGTTAACTCGTTCTTCCTGAGGAGAGTGGAAATCAGTTGTTTCAGAAGCAATGACATCTCTTCACTCAATTCCATCCTTAACGACACAAATATTAAAATCACACAAATAAATTGCTTAGACTCTCAGCTACTGTTTTGCCCATAGTTTATATTTGTAGAATGTTATCTAGAATGACAGTCCTTTGTAAAGAAGGGACTGAAGCTTAAAAAGTTGAAGGCATGGGCTACTTACAGGCAAAATTACTGCCCCTCACAGATAGTCTAATCTTTCTATTACATCCTCGTCCTGCAATTAACCAAATACACACTTATTACAGGAATACTTCCTTTTCTAGAGATCTTGTGGTCTGTTCTGGGGAAGTTCGTGGGGCTGAGTGACCTGTATGTTAGTTGGGTCTTCATAGCTCTTATCTCCTGCGATCTTGAGTTTCTCCAAGATCCACTTCTCCAGGTCATCCGCGTCCCGTCTGAAAACCTGGTAGTGGTAGGACTCTTCAAGCTTCTGGCCCCTCTCAGCAACCAGGTCCTTGAACCTCGAGTACCGGGCCAACACCTCCTGGCGCCGCTCCTGGATCTCCTCGGCTGTTTCCAGCACCTTGGGCCCACCGCTCTCCATAGCCTGCAAGTTAGAAAGCTCTGTCCATTGCTGGCTCTCAAGTTCCTAGTATGCTGTCACTCTTATGTGTCCCAAGGCATTTGCTCATGTTCAAATTTACTTACATTCGTGTATCTTTAAGCCTATAAAAAGCCTGTTGTTAGTACTTTTATATAATTTTAACCATATATGGCTAAGACGAGGCTAAGAACTCTTGATCAGCCAGAACACTTTGCCAACTTTTCATATAAGCCTGCGCCATTTATTGAGTTATATAAATAGAATTAATTTGGACTAATAATAAATGTTATGTTTAAGTTAGTGAAATCACTGTTTCAGATGGATAAAAATATAATTTTATTGTTTTCAAAGGCTAATAAGGTTGACAAGTCCTAATCATTCTGAACTCAATGTAATGAAAGATTAAAAATGGCTTGCAATTAACTTTACTAATGATATACACAAAAGTTTTAAAATGTTTTCTTCTTCCTTAAAAATGTAGCTCATAGATGCTTTACTCTTTTTATTTACTTAATTCATAAGCACTACAAATTAAAAGTTCAGCCCTTCTTCTCTCCAATTTTTACAAATGTCAAATTATTAGTATCTTTGAAATTAGCTTTTGAAATATAAAACATTGTACTCTCAAGCAACATAAAATATTACCTTTCTGTAGTGGGAGCTAACTAATTTGTGATGATATCTTACAAGTTTGCATAGAGTCCATCTTCATTCATCTGGATAAAGGTACAGTCTCCCCTAGTTTATCTCAGCCAGAACATTCCATTTAAAGTTCAAATTTTCGTCTCTTTCTAAATATAATTACTACCCTGCGGACGTCCTTTACTAGTCTGGCTAGAGAATCAAATCATTCTATGGAAACCTAAATCAGTATTGTGTGTTATTTTGTCCCAAGTTACTTAGTCATTCTCTCTGGGAGCCATGGAAGCAGGTCATGCTGGATTTTAGTGCCGTATAGCCACAAGTTCAAGGTAACTGTTCAAAGTGAGACATTCACACAAAAAAAGAGAATTAGAATTTAACTTTTCTACTTCCTAAGAGTCAAGGACAATTTTTAAACCTCCTATCAAAGACAGGCAGAAAGTTCAAAGGAGATAGCTTTTCTCATTCTACTAGGGACAAACTGCACTGTGAAGAATTCTGGCCCCGGTCAGCATGGCTCAGTGCTTGCACGTGGACCTATGAACCAGGAGGTCACAGTTCGATTCCCGGTCAGGGCACATGCCTGGGTTGCGGGCTCATCCCCAGTATGGGGTGTGCAGGAGGCATTCTCTCTCCTCATTGATGTTTCAATCTTTCTCTCCCTCTCCCTTCCTCTCTGAAATCTATAAAAATATATTTAAAAAGGAAAGAACAGAATTCTTTACTCACCGTTTCCTTGGGAAAGTGTCCTAGTTTTCCTAAAGGTCTAGAAACTGGGAAGATAAAATGTATCCAAAAGAGAGAAGCAAAGAGGGAGAGAAAGACAGACAATTCACATGGAATTGTCTAGTCTAATTCAGATAGTGACTAGAGAAACGTTACATATGTGTCAGAGAAAGAAAAAAAAGCCTTTTTCTCAGGCTCAGGCTCAGAATCCCGCCAGCTACCACCTCCTTATCTTAGGAGACAGAGGCAGCTTGAGGCAGCTGCAAACTTTCACAGATGCCCAGTGACTCAGCAGTTTTTGGGGGGACAGTGGCTCTTAAAGTTTCTCAGTAGGACTTCATAAAAAATAAAAGCAAGGTTTTTAGAGGAAAATTTAGGGAAAAACACACAGTTACAGATGTAAGATAAAGAGGCTGTGTTAAGATTGTGTTTTGTTTCTTTAATTAGTTTCAGAGTTTAGGTCTGAGAACCATAATTTAAGAAATAATTTCATGTTGCCCATTCTTCAGACTCTGTGCAGAATTACAAGAACTCAGGGCAGACAGAGGTTCCTGTTCCAACCGGTCCCTGGGAAATACAACTCAATGACTTCGTCCAGACCCCACTGCAGACTTCTAACAGCCTTTAATTCAGCAAGGTATCCTAATTCTTGCTGTAGAACCGTTGCTTAAATAGAAAGAAAATTTTATTGCTGGCCTCACAGATTGGGTTGTAAAAATCTGATTTGGCTCCAAAGGAAGTAAGATGGGTATGTCTATTTGTACTTCATGAAGCAAAATTTAAGATAGCTCGTTTGACAAATGAATGGCGTCACAAAGCATTTGAAAATGGGTCAGTGATCTAAAATGTGAGCTAAAGTCATCCTATTTTCAGTTTAAAGGCATTTTATTTTATTATTTTTAATGGAGAGAAAAGGAAGCAGAAATTATTTCTCAAAGGCATAGGTTTTTTTTGTTTTTTTAAGGCAACTTTACAAAAATGAAGCAAACAAAAGGAAGATAGTGGGATGGTTTCAGATCCTCCTATGAAGCAGTGGTGTTGCCAGTGGGAACGGGGTTCTTTTAGTCACAAGGAAAGCATTCGGGGCGACCAGGTCTGGGAGGATGTGGTTTATTGAAGGTGGAGCAAACACAAAGGACTGTCCTGGATGCAGCTCTGATGTCTCGTTTCCATCCATCCGTTCCGCCATGGAAAAAGTCCAGCCTTGTCTCTATTAAGCCCAGAAATAGGGCCGATGTCCAGAGGGTCTGTGCCATTTGCTCAGTCCACATCTGTCCCCATGAGGCAAACAAATGGGACAGACATTGATCAGCCGCCTCCTGTACGAGCCCACAACCCAGGCATGTGCCTGAACCAGCAGCCTCTTGGTGCCTGGGATGACGCTCAACCAACTGAGCCACACCGGCCGGGCCTGCTGCTTTTTCAAACGAAGTAATCAACTTTCCCATCTTTTGTGGGCTTTGCTGGTTCCTACCCCTAAGCAATCCATTTCCCAGATCTTCCAGAGTTCTGTGTCCTTTGTCCAATCTGATCCTTCACCTGGCCTATGCAGACAGACATTTATAGTCACCGTCTTGGTTTCTACTGTGCATGCCTCAGTAGAAAGCACCTTCCATGGTAGAAGCACCTTCCCCAATGCCATCTTGGCTTCTAGTGGGCATGCTCCTAGCAGAGGAATTTCTCCTGCTATTTTTACTCCTTCCCCCGTAGTCTGGAGGGATGGACTGGTTGTACTCTGGGAAGATTGAAAAGAGGCCCCTCCTCCCTAAGGGGTGGGAGCACTGAAGGATGCTCATCCCTTGTCAGGGCGATGCTCTGATCCCCTGGGGTACCTTTGAGTGCTGCAACTTCCTAGCAAGCAGGCTTATGCTTCCTGTTTGCTTATCTGAATAATGTCTGATTCTCTTTGCTCCTTTCCTTTATTGATATCTAGCTACCTATGTTAACAATGGCATTATCCATGCCAAACTTCATTCTAGTATAAATCCAATTTGAATAATCGAACTTTCATGATCTACTAGATCAGTGGTTCTCAACCTGTGGGTCGCGACCCCTTTGGGGGTCGAACGACCCTTTCACAGGGGTCGCCTAAGACCATCGGAAAACACATATATAATTACATATTGTTTTTGTGATTAATCACTATGCTTTAATTATGTTCAATTTGTAACAATGAAATTGGGGGTCACCACAACATGAGGTCGCGGCATTAGGAAGGTTGAGAACCACTGTACTAGATTGAATCAAGGTTCTACATTTCCAGTTTTTCCTGTTCCTGGATCATGTCACCAAAGAAACAGAGCAACTTAAATTCTCTTCTTAAAAGTCTAGTACTACTTTACTTTTCCATATACTTTTATTATATTCAAATCAAATTTGAGTACTAAAGGCAGGGACATAAATCTTTTATAAAAAATGCATTATATCACAAACACCAAAGAAACTCTGACTGCAGTTGAGGTGGGAAGGTAACATTTTTGTATCTTTATTCAAGAGATAAGATGGACCACCTTCAATTAGAATCTATCAAATCTTAATTTACATGTCAATACGATTACTTTACATTATTTCCTCATCTTTAGAAGATTTTGCAAAACAGGTATTCTAGACCCCGTTTTTATGTGAGAAATCAGAGCGAGTCCCTGAGAGGTAAGCTCCTCCCACGGTTATTTGGTTTGTATGTTTTCAAACAGAGCCGAATCCATGTGACTATGTCCATCATGCCACGGGGCTCCGCATCTGTGTTGGTCTGTCTTCTCCCAGGCCATCAACATTGTTGAAGGTCCTATTCCAGGACTTTCTCACCAAGAATGCCAACCATGCGATAACCTGTGACCAAACAAATAATGGGAAACCATCAGCAGGTTTGGCCATCAGGAAATAAAATAAATGTGGATAAGAACAATCTTCTTTAAAGCATGTAGCAAGGTGGTTATGCACAGGAGACACTCAGGAAAGAGGTTTCATACTGATGAAGAAATGTTTGTTCTTTGAATTTTTAGTCACACACAAAAAAATGGCTCTAACCGGTTTGGCTCAGTGGATAGAGCTTCGGCCCGTGGACTGAAGGGTCCCAGGTTCGATTCCGGTCAAGAGCATCTACCTTGGTGCGGGCTCTATCCCCAGAAGGGGGCGTGCAGGAAGCAGCTGATTGATGTTTCTCTCTCATCGATGTTTCTAATTCTCTATCCCTCTCCTTTACTCTCTGTAAAATAAAAAATAAAAAAAGAAACGGGTGAAATTAAAATTTTTAAAATGCATGGTAAAAGTTTCTCTGACAGCCCTCTGGCTGTTAGTTTGGCACCGGCTGACTTTAAATTTAGTCCCACCCTATCTTCCAAAAGGCTGATGACGTTTTGCCATTCTCTGAGCATTATTCGCCATTATTAGTATATCATGGTGCAACCTTGGGATTTATGGAAGTGCATGATGAGAAAATTTTCAACCCTGGTGGCTTAACATTTGGACCTCTGACCTCTTGCCACTTTTTATGGTTTTCTGAGAATGCCTATTGGCTCTGATGACATAGAGACCCTGGTTAGAGAAGCTCAGGTAAAGAATGCAGGACAGATACTGTGGACGTTGAGATTCATGTCCGTCTTTAAAACTGCATGTTGTTGCACTGTGCATACATGAGTGCTGAGAGGTACAGAGGGAGCTTGAGTTCGCCATGGACGTTTCCCTAAAGAGACGTCTTCAATGAAAAGTGGGAGCGATTCGGAGGGCTGTTTTATTTGGTCATGGCTATCAGCCCTGAGCAGATACATTCTTCACACACTGGTTTAATCTGCCCTGCCCAGCTTGCCTGAACACTGCTCAGTTATCAGATCCTGGGCTCAGTAACACCGAGAGATGCTTTATATACACAATTTCTGAAGTCTTCTCAACTTGCATCACTAAAATTCATATGTTTACTGTAGATTTTTTTGGAGACCAACTTTCTCAACTTATTTACCAACAGGAAAAATGTGTTAATTTTAATGTAAAACATTTTATTTTTTTAGAGGTCATCATTATTTTATCATGTTTTAAAAATAATTTTTGTTTCTTCAGAATTAGTTCTCATTTAAAAATGTCTCCAATTTTTGGTTTCTAAATGGATTAGAATATTAGACAATATTATTCAGAAAAGTAAATAAAAATATTTTTTGCACATACTTAGTAAATGGCAGTTTATTGTCTCCACATCAACTCTTATTGCTTCAGGTCCTCTAAAGATATTTATCCCTTAACTCTATTTGAAAAATCATATATTATTCAATTTTGCAATCTATATATATAAAAGCCTAAGTGACCATCCAACCGGTAGCTATGATGTGCACTGACCACCAGGGAGACGCTCAACAATGCACAGGCATGGAAACATGGAACAGACTGGTGAATCTCAGAGGGAAGGGGGCAGGGGGGAGGGCGGAAAGAGATTAACCAAAGATCTTATATGCATACTAGAGGCTCAGTGCACGGATTTGTGCACCAGTGGGGTCCCTCAGCCTGGTCTGCAGGGATCGGGCCAATATCAGCAGTCCAACATCCCTTGAGGGGTCCCGGATTGCGAGAGGGCGCAGGCCAGGCCGAGGGATCCCACCAGTGCACGAATTCGTGCACCGGGCCTCTAGTTCTATGATAAAAATAGAACTCCTGTTTCCCCATATTATTATCTTCTCTCACTCTACCTTTTTTATTTTATTATTTTCTGTTTTATTTATTTGGTATTACGACAATGAATAAGAAAACCCATTATATTTTTACAATGAATTATGTAATCTATAATAATAAAAGCATAATATGCTAATTAGATCGGAAGAAGCTGGAGCTGTGAGGGAAGCCCAGGTCCCAGGTGCCAGAGAGAAGCCGGTGCCAGCAGCCAGGGGAAGGGAGGCCTCCTCTTGCATGAATTTCGTGCATGGGCCTCTAGTTAAAATATAAAGAAAGCTTGGGATAATGGAAAGTATACTGCTTTTAAAAAAGAAGCATGTAATTTGAGGACTTAATTCCACCATTTAATAATCAAGTGATCATTAGAAATTTGCTTAAATGTTATTAAGTATATACTGGGAATAGTAATGACTAATCTACCTATTCCAGCCCTGGCCGGTATGCTCAGTGGTTGGAGTGTTAGCCCAGGCCCCTGTCTGGGTGCAAGTGGGAGGCCACCAATAGATATCTCTCTCACAC